GAGGAAGAGCGCCCCGGCGAGGAGCAGCGTCGACCCGATCACGTGGCGGCGGCCGACCAGCTGGTTCACGGGCGTGCCAGCAGCACCGACACGATCTCAAACACGCTTAACATGGCTATGTACTGGAAGGGATTCGTGCTAGAAGAAAAGGAATAAGAAAAGGTTGAAGAAAGTGAGTAATTGTACAAATAGGAGACATTTGTCTTTACTTCGACTATATTTTTAAAATGTTCGCTGTAGCGTATACGGAAATATCCATTGTAGATGTCCATAACAGGATGCGGCGATTCGTTAGATATTTACCCAGAACAAAATGTGGTGGACCTAGAGGGACGTGAGGTGAGTGAGTTATTCGACCGGCTATCCGAATGCTACTAAACTACTACTGCAAGGTTTAATGTAACAGACACCTGCACTGGATGAGGACCGATGTGGAATCTGTAAAGTTTTAACCATATGTTTTCTAAAGATTTTTTAGAGTAGTCTGATGGCGGTGGCCCAAGCTGGAACCCTAGAAATCGCAAATGAAAAAAAAAATGTGTGATCAGATCTTCAAATGTTGTCTTTCCCGACTTTGCATATCTGTGAAGAAGAATATATATATTGTATTTATAGAATAAACTTAACAAAATAGCCTATACCTCGTAAAATTGTTAACGTTGAGGATGATTCCATAGTAGAGGAGACACATAAGGAAATACATCAGAGGTGTAATGAAAATGATGATCAGCATAGCAGGTGAGCGCAGGTATTCGCCATAGCTGCTGAAGGACGCGGCGAAGAGCTGCTTCAGCGCTACCTTTTCTTTCTCGCCGCCGGATAACCCGCAGGTATCCTACGAAACGAGATACAAGAGGAATGTTAAGATGTTAGATATTATATCTCCAAGTTTTCAAGCAAGTTATTCGAACGAGTTATTTCTGATACTCTTCCTAAAGACTTCATAGGCCGACCTCCTTCATCTTCTCTAGGTAAGACGCGAGGGGAGGGGAGCTCGACGCGGTTCTTCCTGGCAGCCTCCGCCAGCTCTGCCGCCGCCTCCCTGCCGCTCCCGCTCTGCACGAGCCAACGGGGCGACTCCTTCACGAACCTGCCGGAGGTCACTTTTCTTGGATTTGCAGAACAAAACCCCTCGGGATCGGTCTTGAAACATTTTCACGTGAATGAAAAATATACCTACCATGCATTTATACATACATATAGGCAGACAGGTAGATAGATGTGTACATACATAATACACATGTACATATGTACTTATGTATGTATGCATGAATGTATGTATGTGTGTATGTATGTATATATGTATTATGTGTATGTGTATATATGTGTGTTTGTGTGTGTGTTTACATATATATATATATATATATATATATATATATATATATATATATATATATATATATATATATATATATAGTGTGTGTGTGTGTGTGTGTGTGTGTGAACAAAATACATGTATATAGACAGATAGATTAATATATAGTTATAGATAAAGATATACAAATACATATGCTGTCCAGTTATGCCTATTTGAGAACCCACAGAGTGATGGGCGTCATGACCAGGTAGGGCAGGGTCCAGATCAGCTGCAGGTACCGCCAGTGGCTGACGAAGTAGCCGACCAGCGCGAACAGGATGACGCAGGCGGAGTAGGGAGTCCCATGAACATCCCGAGGACTGTGCGGTGCCGTGGCGGGCAGGTTTCCATGGCTACAGGGGGGGGGGGGGGCAAAAAGGCGTTTACAGAAATTGCTGTTATTGATGGCGTTAGGTTTTGGTGCATGTTATTCAGTCTGATGTGGAATTCATGAGGAACAGATTCCAACAGGAACAACGAAGGGAAGGACATATTCGTGTGTTTTCAACGATTAAGTTATTTTGTGGCGATTAAACGGATAAATAGAGTTATTAACTTCGTCTTCTTGCCCCTTGGAAGGTAATGATGACTGATGAACTGGTGATTAACGAACGAACGGGAAAATAACACCATTACTGAATTAGTAAACAAAAGATCAGGCAGTTTATCTACAAAGTTTAAGTCACAACCCAATTCCTTTTTATCCGCACTCTACGAGAAAAAAATAATAATGTAAGTTAAGTATGCTAATGAAAATTTGATTAATATGAAGTACCTTGACAAAATAATTTTTACTATTTATTGTGGAACAAAAACATAATGCTTGGGAAAGTGTTCAGTATAAAGACATTTATAAAATAAAACATCGCATTTAGCCTACTTTTGTTATCAAAGAAAAAAACTAGAGCAGGAAAGTTCCGTAGTTCTGAACAACGCTCTTTAACATTTTTCTTAGAGACAGGAAAAGGTCATCCTTATGCAATGATAATAATGATAATGATAATAATAACAATAATAATAATGACAATAGCAATACTAATAACTACAGCAATAGTATTCAGGATGATGATGATGATAGCAATAATAATAACAACAATAATAATTATTATAATAATAATTACAAAAATAATAGTAATAATAATAACAACAATCATAATAATCATATTAACAATAATAATAATCATAATCATAAAAATTACAATGATAATAATAATTATAATGATAATTGCCATAGCAATAATAATAACCATAATAATAACAACAGAACCCGAGAACGAAACCGAAAGCCGAAAGCCTGGCCTCTCCTTACCGAGGTTGATGGTGGACAGCATGACCATCCTCACCGAGATCCCCATGGCGAACCTCAGCGCCAGCACGACGGGGAACCACGGGACAAACGCCACGGCCAGGCACGAAGGCAGACCCAGCAGACACCCGATCTGCATGGCCTTCTTGCGACCCATGCTGGAGGGGGAGAACGAGGCAGGTTGAGGTAGCGTTGTCATCACCACGGCGGTAATGAGAACACGGACAGTAGGATACATGCACATGCAAACGCACAAGAAACAATAGAAACACATGCACAAGTACATGCACGTAAATACGTGTGAAATTCATGTTGAACAGATTGCAATAGGAACAACGAAGGGAAGGGCAAGAAAACACACGAATATGCCGAAGGCCTTTTCACTATTGCTTCGTCAGGGCATATGACGAAGCAATAGTGAAAAGGCCTTCGGCATATTCGTGTGTTTTCTTGCCCTTCCCTTCGTTGTTCCTATTACGTAAATACAAGCACACACACACACATACAAGCACACACACATTCTAGCACACACACACTCGCCTGTCGCTAATGGATCCCCCGACGAAGCACCCCGCTATGGCGCCGATCGTTATGACCATCTGGAAGAACGGCCGCAACCGCTCCCTGTCACACACCAAGTCAAACTGGAAGATCAAGCCATCGTTTTTGCCACTCCATTAAGCCAATAATTTTCTCAACCTTTCCTTTACGATTGACCCCTCGGCTGGATATTTCATTATCTCATATATATATCTATATATATATATATATATATATATATATATATATATATATATATATATATATATATCAGCATTCTCTATTAGTTATATTTCCACTATAAAGCAATTGTATATAGAAATAAATACCGAAATGCAGAAACAAAATGTATTTGTTAAATGGCGCCAAAACACCGTTATGTGTTATTGTCGTACGATTTGTTAAATCACGTTAATAAAAAAAAATGGCATGGTCCAGAGGAGAATGTTTGGCATGCAATACACATCTATATGTTAATATCACTTTGGTGTGAGATGAAGTGCCAAGGCCGGTTGGCTAGTTATCTTATGATTTATTATTCAATATTAGAGTGTGCACTTCACATTTTGCTGACATGTTGCTGACAGAACTATGTGTTGCAACCCAGTAATTTTATATTTGAAGACTGCCAATTTAATGTAGACTGTCTTAGTAAAACTGCAAAGCGAAGCATCTTGGCCAAAACGTCGGTCATGACAAATATTGAAAGAATTAACAATACGTAAAGTATAATGCAAGTAAAACATATTTTAGTATTATGCTGTGATATTGTAGGTCGACTCTTTCGACATGTAGAAAATTTTGATAAGGAGCAAAAATCATATTATGAAATATTAATAAACAATGTATTTCCTAAATAATCCTTTCTAGAGCAAACTGTAATAAAACACAGCCATACACTGCGGTGAGTAATAGGTAGGCTCATGTAACAGACAACACACACACACACAGCCCAACACATCCACTATCTTAGTTTAAAACAAATGCGTCAATGAATCACCCGCTACTGCTTCTATTTTTAAAATCAGGCTTATTTTACTTTTATATTCTGGCTTGCCTCAGAATAATAAGAAAATATATCCTTTATAAATATTGAGTAATATTATTAAGATTCTTCTCCAATCTCTCTACAAGTCGTAGACAAACAATATATACATACATACATACATATACATATATATACATATATATATATATATATATATATATATATATATATATATATATATATATATATATATATATATATATATATATATATATATATATATATATATATATATAGCTATGATAAAAAGCGTTGCCTCTGCCTTCATCCATCACCAGGCGACCGAACAGCGGTTATGGCGTTAAGAAAACAATGTTAAACAGAATTACCATTCGAGACATTTTGAAATTATAGTAAAATAACATCAGTAATACTAATTTAAAAAGGTGTTTTAAAACAAGAGAAGTATGCTGGACCATAAACTCAGCATTATATTCATCTTAGTCTCATTCACAATAAAATACATTACATAATCATAGGCAGTCCTGGTTTACACGCGAACTCAAATGCTGTCACTAATGATTAAAAATTTGTATCAAAAGAGGTTGTATGAATGTTTTCCAAATAATAATAGGAATAATAGAGAGATTATGATAATCCTAACTAGGTGCTATCATCATGTTATGGTTTTATTATTATTGCAATAATGAATTACTATCATTATCATTTTCATCATCGTTATAATCAAAATCTTTAAATTCACTCATAATATTATTTTCTGTTACCATTATAACCATCACCATTAATGCCACGTTGTAATTTATTATCACTATCACTCTCCATCATTTTTATCCTCATTATTAATATCACAATTATAAATACCATCACTCTTCCATACCCGCATAACCACTCCAACCCCTCACCTCCGAGATGACAGTAAGGGAGTAGACTGAGGAGTCATACTCGATCTCAGGGCAAGCGGGAAGCCCGGTGGCACGGCGGTTGGGCGGCCCGACGGGGTTGAGGGCGGGGTGGGCGAGGTGGGCGAGGTGGGCGGAGTCTGCGAGGTGGGCGTTGTCTTGAGGGTCTAGGCACTCGTTGTTGAACCAGGCGTTGTCCAGGCTGTCCAACTCGCTGACGGAAAAGGTGTATCATATTTGTATATTTTGTTTTTTGTGTTTGTGTAATGCACACACACACACACACACACACACACACACACACACACACACGCTTACCTGAAGGACGAATTGGAGGAGTTGGAGCTCCCCGCAAAGCAGCGGAAGGACATGGGGGCATTCAGCAGCGAGGAGGCCATGTAGTGCAGGGGAATGGTGTTGGCTGCGGACACCATATATGGTTTGCGTTAGTGACGACACGAGGGCAAGCGCGTCCAAAGGTGGTCGCAGATCAGTTGCCCGAAAATGCGTTTATTAGAGCTTAACTTAGGCTTTCTTCCATGACATGTGTATCGATATGTTCGTGTTAATGCTTTGCAATCATGGTATTGTAGTGTATGAATGTGAAGTTATCGATGTCTATAATAAAGTCGAAAGTATACATTAGTAAAACATATAATAAACAAATTTTCTGGCGATTGCTCTTAGATCACTTTTGGACGCACTTGCCTTCATGTCACCACTGTTAACATAAGTGTTACTTGCGAACCAAAAGGGAGGTCTAACAGGCGCCAAAACGGACCTACAATGGTAGCCATTAATATGGGTATCTGCCAGCGGCCATACCCAACCGCCGAAAGGATATCGTCGATGCGGTCACGGTCTGCCATGGCCTTCCCTGCGGGGAAAAGAGACTTCAATGTACATTTGCAACATTGTAGCCAACCTAAGAAGAATAAGTCTTACGTGCTTTATTTGTTCATCCATTCACTCATTTTCTAATCTATTCAAAACCAAAAGAATCATTAATCAAAGTGTTACTCTAGAGAGAACAATAGATCCTCTGCTGGAAGAGCGATAGATTTAGAGTAACAAACAGCGAGCGAGTTCAAGTAAGGTCCCATACGCCTGGCTGAACGGATACTAGGGAAGAGCATGGAGAGGCAAGGGCAAGGGAGACTGCGGAGGAAATCTGACGACGAGCTTATGTTGAAACAGAGTTTCCACGCTCTGCTCCTCTCAGTATATCAGTCTGAGATGGTGTGGGTAAAATTCGGTACATGACCTTGTTGAATTGAATTAGACTTGATTCATCTACTTTTTTATTTTGAAGTAAAACTGAATCGAACTGACAAAAATGAACTGACCTTAGCCCAGCTCACTCCTTCTTGATTCACCCTGTCCTCACATCCGCCTAATTTGGAACATTATATTTTTTCTTTCTTTTTTATTAGAATTAATTTTAAATCTGAAGTCGGCGGGAAAAAAAGCAAATGGAGTCGGCGAAAAAAAGCAAATGAAGAAGTCAGTAAAAAAAAAAAAATAAAAAAAGGTAAATGAAGTCCGGGGAAATCGGAAAAAAACATCGGACAGTGACAAAATACAATTAAAGCAAAAAAAAAAAAATGTATATATATAAAATAAAAGAGGCAGGGAAGATGCAGGTAAACTTATAATACCTATTACCCCAAGCACTGACCTCAAGCACAAGCGTTCGCATTAAAAGGTGACTCGTTTTAGGGAAAGAAAAATCAAAGTCATATAAAGATATTCGATAAGGAAATGACGTAAATCAAAATGTAAGTATTAAAACCATAGGCCTACTATCACGTATGTATAAACTGTTGTTAAATCATTCATAATTTAAACCGCGCTGTGTGTGTGTGTGTGTTTGCAACTCTGTATATTTGTGTTTCTTCATACTTACGTTTAATTATGTACGTATACATATTTTTTCTATTACATATGTATGAAATATTAACGAAGGATAAATGTAGAATAAAAAAAGATATTATAATTGCAGTAGAAGATTTATAAATATATATAGAGACACACAATTTTAACGACCAAACAGAAATAAACGGACAGACACAAAAGCAATAATTAGAGACGATCGGATCAAATAAAACGGGAAATTAAACGGCACGAAAAGAGGGAAAACGCCAGAAAATTTAATTAGAAAATTACATATGTCATAGATCTTTAAATGATAATAATAATAATAATAATAATAATAATAATAATAATAATAATAATAATAATAATAAACTGAAATTTCGGTAATAAGACATCCCAATTTCTAACGGCGATAAAACTCGGACAAATGGAATAATCATGTTGATACACTACCAAGGATGTTAGACTTGAGGCTCCTATTGATTATCATACATGATTTTAAAAAGTTGTGTGCGTGTGTGTGTGCGTGTGTGTGTGTGTGTGTGTGTGCACCAGTCCCACGTGCAAGCGAGTGAACACCACGCTCCCCCTCGTGTTGCAACAGAGAAAAGCCGCTGGTCTCTTCAACCCTCCTTGGCGACAGCCCAGGGCACGCTCACATTTTCATCATGTGCATCTGTATCCTATCTACGATGAATGAATGCCAAACAACAAATGTGTTTTTAATCCTTATCTGGGGCCAAGTGCATCCTACTCTGTGTGTGCGTATGTGGAGGAATAAGATACAGACAGGCAGACAAACATTGAAAGGGGAAGAGAGAACAAGGATAAGAAAAAAAATACTCTCACCTCCCCTGCGCAGGCGAGTCGCCTCCTTGCACCGGCTCCAAGACGCGACTGAGCGGACCGCTGTCTGATTACCTTCTATATAACGTGGTCTCTAGGTGCTGGAGGTCGTGCGAGAGAGACAGGGGGGGGGTGGGAGTGAGGGAAAGAGAGAGAGAGAGAGAGGATGAGGAGAGAGAGAGAAGGTGGGAGGGAGGGAGAAGAAAGGGAGAGAGAGAGAGGGGACCGGGAGGAGAAGAGAAGAGGGAGAGAAGAGAGAGAGAGGTGAGAGAGGGGGTTTGAAGAGAGAGAGAGAGAAGGACGGAGGAAAAGAGAGATGAGAGAGAGAGAGAGAGAGGAGGAGGAGGAGGAAAAGAGAGAGAGAGAGAACAAAGCAAGAAGCTAAAGATTAAAACGACGCGTCGGAGGGTCAGAGCGACCAGAAAGTTTATCTCCGTTTCACAAGTCACCAATTAAGATATAAAGGACACTGCATTACTTCTTAAAACAAAAAAAAAATAATTATATAGAATTACGATACACATTTTACAGTAACTATTCTTAAACACTGACGTTTCCAAAAGAATTGTCAAGATGTTCTTAAACAGAAACAAGTACAGTAGCAACAAGAGTGCTAGACAACACACTGTAAGCAACAACGGAGGTCAGATCGTACAGGCTGACAATAGACTATATTAGCACACAGTATGTCCTTCAACATTACGAAGAAATTGAATGTTAAGTACAGAGAGATGTCTCGATATGTTGTATAACGGTGAGACACTTCTCTAGTCTCCCAGCACTTCGAAAACATGACATTGTATTACAAGCTATCAAATCCCGAGGTGCAGACAAAGTTAATGATTCTCGCTCTATTGACATTTCCCTATACAGTCTAAAGTTCTCGAGAAAACTGTTGCGCAACACAAGACAAACATGGACCTAACAGTAAGTTTAGTGAAACAACGTTCTTAAAGGTCCAAAATATATGGTAACATAGACAACGTCCAAAATATTCGCTTACATTATATATATATATATATATATATATATATATATATATATATATATATATATATATATATATATATATATATATATATATGCATACATACAAATATATAAATAAATATATATATACATATATGTGTGTGTGTGTGTGTGGTATGATACACACATACACACACACACACACACACACATATACATATATATATATATATATATATATATATATACACACACACACACACACACACACACACACACACACACACACACACACACACACACACACACACACACACACACACACACACACACACACACACACACACAACACACACACACAAACACACACACACAAACACACACACATACACACACACAAATACACACACCTACACATGGAGTATATAAACACAGGTATGTATAACTCTTCATTAATCAATGTAATTTTTGTTCAGATATAGTTAGAATGACAATATATATGCATCATTAGTTAGAATATATAGACAGATATGTGTATGAGTGTGTGTGTTTTTGCGTGTGGTTAATGAATTGTGTGTAAATCTTTCGGTGTCCATGCCTTTGTTTTTTTTTTTTCGTTTTTATCTTTCCTTGGATATATATATATATATATATATATATATATATGCACACATAACTATAATAACATAAATAGATAGATAGATAGTCGGATGGATAAATAGATAGATACACACACACACACACACACACACACACACATATATATATATATATATACATATATATAATGTACACACACACACACACACACACACACACACACACACACACACACACACACACACACACACACACACACCATATATATATATATATATATATATATATATATATATATATATATATATATATATATATACATACAGACATACAGACATATATACATATATGTATGTATGTATGTATGTATATATACATATATATATGTATATATACATATACATATGTATACATACATATACTATATACATATATACATATATATATATACATATATATATACATATTATATATATATATATATATATATATATATATATATATATATATATATAATTTATTTATTGATTTACGGAATCTCATTTATTCGTTTCTATATTTATTTATATTTCCGTTTCTCTTCGTTTATGCTATCTCCT